ACTTAGGTTGTTCATTTCATAGAGCATTTTCCGTGTGCCAAGACCTGTACTGCTGTGGGGACGCACATTCTCTCATTCTACCTGTACTGTGCCCTTTGGGACAAAGGCTACCATTGTTCCTTCTATAGAGGTCTGGGACCTGGGACTGAGAGAGGGTAGGAGGTTTGTTCAAAGGCACACAGCTATGACTTCCAGACCCAAGATCTGACCTCTTGACTCACTCCAAAGCCTTTGTTCTGAAAGGGTGAGCTGCTCACCATGGCTGCCTTGTTAAGTCAGCATGGGCATTTGCACTCTGCAGACACAGTCACCTCTGCCCACACAAGTCCTGGGGGGAAGGCACAGGACACTGCTCAACTGGGCTCTACCGTAATTATCGTAGCTCTCGCTGTCAGTCATCCAAGACTCCCTTTCTTTCGCCTTCACCTTTTTGTGACTCATGAATCCAAAAGCTCCTATCTGGAAAAACCACCTCAACAGTTTTCCAGAAAAGTCTGCTTCTCTTTTTCACTTTTTTTTTTTTCCCACAGAAGCCAACATCCCCCAAATCTTCACCCTTCTGGGCAACAGAGAACCAAGGTCAGAAATAAATTAGATTTTTTTTTTTATGGCTACTTGCTTCCTGCTTGGCCTAGTGCACGGCACACAGGAGTTACCTCTGCAGAGTCCTTCTTCCAAACACAGACTTCAAAGCTCTCTAGGGCTGCAGGCAATGCGTAACTAGTTATGGTGACCACAAGATACCTTGAGTGTGGGTGAGAGTGGGAAGCAGGGATGGTTGCAGGCTCAGGATAGAGCGCTCTGGCTCTGAAGCCTGCAGGTGCAGCACAAAGGCTGATGAGGGCTAATGACAGGTCCCTGACAGACCAATGGAGTGACTCAGAACACAGATGTCCCGCCCACCCCTGCAGGCTGGTGGAGGCAACTCCCAGGCTGGGCTTGACTCATCTGTTCTAGTTCCCTCTGCCGTTGCTCTTTTTAGAACAATCTAGGACATGGCAGCTAAAACACATCATTGTTTGCAAAGGGAATGCTTTCGCGTGGGTGAGTGGACACAATGAGTTCTCCTTCTGCTTGGGAACATGGGAGGGGTAACCAGCGACTGATTCTCACAGACATCTGTGAGTTCTGGGGGACCCAGTTATCTGGAGAGCAGGAAGTGAAGGTAGTTCAGTGTCAGCATCGGTGTCACGAGGACATGAGGTTGGCATGCTTGTGTCCAGTGTCGTAGGGCCTGGCTTGCCGTCCTCATTCTGCTCCCCGTTGAAGGCACCCTTTTAGGAAGCATGTGATGGCTCAAGTACTTGGGTTCCTGTCACTCACGTAGGAGACCCTGATGGAGTTCCTGGCTCCTGGCTTCAGCCTGGCATTTGGAGAATGAACCAGCAGATAGAAGATCACTCTGTCTCTTGCTAGCTCTCTCTGCCTTCCAAATAAATAAAAATTAAAAAAAAAATGGGGCTATGAGTTTCAGGAGAACATGGTCACTCCAATTTCCTAAATAAATACTAGTAATAAGGAGAGGAACCCAAGAAGCCTGGAGTTACTTCTTGAGTGCTGCCTCTTGAAGCAAAAATAAACAGTGTCTGCTGCAGAATCAGGTTTGAGTCAATGTGTCCCGGGAGGTGAGCCAGCGCTGGTCCTGGTGTTTTCATCCTCATGCATGTGTCTTGGACCAGGAGACCCCGGATCCAGCCTAACAGACTTGACTTTGGGTCACATGGGTCAAGCTGGCACAGGAGTACAGGTTACATTTTTAAAAAATTTGTTAAGTATTTGCCTGGCCAAGATAAAAGCCATATTCTTTTTTTTTTTTTTTTAGAAAGCTTTTATTTAATGAATACAAATTTCATAGGTACAGCTTTAGGAATATAGTGGTTCTCCCCCCCTCCCCATACCCACTCTCCTACCCCCTCTCCCATCTCACCTCCTACTCCCTCTCACATCCCATTCTTCATTAAGATTCATTTTTAATTATCTTTATTATACAGAAAACCAACTCTATACTAAGTAAAGATTTCCACAGTTTGCACCCACATGGACACACCAAGTATAAAGTACTGTTTGAAGACAAGTTTTTAATTCTTCCTTCTTTTTGTTTACAGGCAGAGTGGACAATGAGAGAGAGACAGAGAGAAAGGTCTTCCTTTTTCTGTTGGTTTACCCTCCAATGGCTGCCGCGGCCGGTGCATCGCACTGATCTGAAGCCAGGAGCCAGGTGCCTTTTCCTGGCTTCCCATGGGGTGCAGGGCCCAAGCACTTGGGCCATCCTCCACTGCACTCCCGGGCCATAGCAGGGAGCTGGCCTGGAAGAGGGGCAATCGGGACAGAATCCGGCGCCCTGACCGGGACTAGAACCTGGTGTGCCGGCACCACAAGGCGGAGGATTAGCCTATGGAGCCACGGTGCCAGCTCGAAGACAAGTTTTACGATTAATTCTCATAGTACATGTCATTAAGCACAGAGGTCCTACATGGGGAGCAAGTGCACAATGACTCCTGTTGTTGATTTAACAATTGACACTCTTATTTATGATGTCAGTAATTACCTGAGGCTCTTGTCATGAGCTATGGAAGCCTCTTGAGTTCACAAACTCTGATCTTATTTAGTCAGGGCCATAATCAAAGTGGAAGTTCTCTCCTCCCTTCAGAGAAAGGTACCTCCTTCTTTGATGGCCTGTTCTTTCTGCTGGAGTCTCACTCCCAGAGATCCTTCATGTAGGACTTTATTTTTGCCACAGTGTCTTGGCTTTCCATGCCTGAAATGCTCTCATGGGCTTTTCAGCTAGACCAGGAAGGCTTAAGGGCTGATTCTGAGGTCAGAGTACTGTTTAGGAAACACCATATTCTGTAAGGCACTGAATCCTGGTTTCTATGCCAGAGTTCTATTAATGCTGTCTGTGGCTGCAGCTCTGGGAGGAGCGGTGGAAACAAGCAGCCATGGCTATCCCCATGGCAATCCTCCCTTCTCTGCAGTTTCGTTTCTGGCAGCATTAGTTAGTCCTGGGCAACCAGCAATGGCTTAGCTTGATGAGCCGCCTCTGATCACAGGGCAGGAGGCCCCTGGCGGCATCTTATCTTGTAGACATTGTGGCATCTTGTGTCATCGCAAGGGCAAAGGTGAGGACAGCACCATCAGATAGTTTGAGGCGGCTGGCACTGTGGTGCGGCACAGCTAGCAGTCCCATATCAGATCCAGCTCCCTGCTATGGCCTGGGAAAGCAGTGGAAGATGGCCCAAGTGCTTGGGCCCCTGCACCTATGTGGGAGACCCGGATGGAGCTCCTGGCTCCTAGCTTTTGCCTGGGCCAGCCTTGGCTGTTGTGGCCATTTAAGGATTGAACCAGTAGATGAAAGATCTCTTTCTCTCTTTATACCATTCTGCTTTCAGATAAATAAAATAATTCAAAAATTTGGAAAGGTCTTTGAGAGAGAGAGAAAGGTCATAGTCACATAACTTTTATTAGAGTATATTGTTATAATTATTCTTATTGTTTTTTTTTAATAATTATTTTATTTGAAAGACAGAGATACAGAGAGGGGTAGAGCCTGAGAGAGAGAGAGGTCTTCCATGCGCTGGTTCACTCCCCAAATGACCCCAACTGCCAAAGCTGAGCTGATCTGAAGCCAGAGCCAGGAGCTTCTGGTTCTCCCATGTGGGTGTAGGGGCCCAAGCACTTGGGCCATCTTCTACTGCTTTCCCAGACCATAGCAGAGAGCTGGATAGGAAGTGGAGCAGCTGGGACTCAAACTGGCACCCATATGGGATGCCGGTGCTGCAGGCTGGGGCTTTAACCCGCTGTGCCATGGTGCCATGGTGCCGGCCCCTCTACTTATTGTTAATCACTTGCTGTGTGTGTATAAGTGAAGCTTTATCAGAAGTATGCCGTATAGGAAAAAGCGCAGTGCACATAGGGTTTGGGACTGTGTGTTTCAGTCTCCACTGGCGGAGGAGAGGATTCCGTTCTGCAGAACTTTAGAGCTAGGAGGTGACTCAGAGGTGTGTTTCTCTGAAATGCAGCTTCATGGATGGGTGATCATTAGAAAATTATTGTCAGCGTGCACAAAATGAAAGACCAAAGCGTGGTAGTGAATTTTGTAGAAAGGTAAACGTGTTCAATTAAAATTATTATTTTTTTTGGTGGCATCTATTCTAATGTTCATATGTTTAAAAAGCTATTGTATGGTGATTTGGGGGGGGAATGAAACCTTTTTTTTTAAAATTTAGTTTTATTTATTTGAAAGGGAAACAGAAGGAGGGGGAGAGAGAGAGAATCATCTGCTAGTTCATTCCTCAAACGCTCACAGTCTGGCAGGGCTGGCCCAGTTCCAATCCAGGTCTCCCATATGTTTGTCAGGGACCCAAGTTCCCGAACCATCATGGCTGCCTCCTAGGGTGCACAGTGGCAGGAAGCTGGAACTGGAAGCAGAGCAGGGACTTGAACCCACGCACTCTGATATGGGATGTGGGCTTCCCAAGCCGTATCTTACCTGCTGCACTGAACACCTGCTCTGTAATGAAGTCTTTCTTAAAAAAAAAAAAAAAAAATTACCTGAAAGGTTAGATTTGCAGAGAGAGAGAGAGAGATAGAGAGAAGAGAGAAGAGAGAGAGAGAGAGAGCGAGAGATAGCTCTTCCACCCACCTGTTCACTCCCCAAATGGCCACAATTGCCGGGGCTGGGCCAGGAGTTTCATCTGGGTCTCTCACGTGGGTGCAGGGACCCAAGTACTTGGCTCATTTTGCGCCATTTTCCCAGGTGCATTAGCAGGGAACTAGATCAGAAGTGGGGCAGCCGGGACTTGAACCGTCTGCTATATATTATGCCAGCGCTGCAGGTAGCAGCTTTGTTGCCCTCTCCCGCCCTGTACCCCCCAACCAAGTCTTTCTGCTCTGATCCTCACTCTTGGTCCCCTCCTGCCAGGCGAGATCTGGGGGCACCTGTTACCAGTAAACTCTGTGTCCAGGCCAGCTCTTGTGAAGCTAAGAGAAGAAGAACTCTGGGTCAATGCACTGGAAGGGACCCTCCTGCTCCTGCCCTTGATCTGAACTCAGCCGGGCCCCAGGGCACCGGGAGTCAGCAGAGGAGGTGGAGCAGAAAGAGAGCTGTGCATTTGCCGAAGTGGGCCGGGCTTAGTCTGCTTACAGGACTGGGATCAGGATAGGCCCAGCGCTCTCCACCTCAGGACCCTGCCCTCCACGGAGCCATGGCCTGCGAACCCCTGCTCTCCCCAGTCACAGGCTGTGTCTTCCTTGGGACAGTGGGTTGGAAACTGTCCTCCAGGCCCGGCCAGCCGGTGGAAGTGTGGGAGAAGATCCTCTGCAGGCCAGTCGGGAAGGCAGGCGGGCTGGGTAAGCTACGGCGCTGGCCCAGAGAGCCGGGAGGTGCTCTGTGGGTTTCACTGCCGTCCGTCCGCGTCTCGCGAAGCTAACGGTTGCAGAGAAATACAGAAAAGTGTCCCCAATTCTACAACCAGGCTGAGCGGGATTTGGTTTTTCTTTTTTTTTTTTTTTTAAGATTTATTTATTTATTTGAAAGTCAGAGTTACACAGAGAGAGAAGGAGAGGCAGAGGCAGAGGGAGAGAGAGAGAGAGAGAGAGAGAGAGAGAGGTCTTCCATCCGCTGGTTCACTCCCCAGATGGCCGTAATGGCTGGAGCTGCGCCAATCCAAAGCCAGGAGCCAGGAGCTTCTTCCAGGTCTCCCATGTGTGTGCAGGGGCCCAAGGACTTGGACCATCTTCCACTGCTTTCCCAGGCCATCAGCAGGGAGCTGGATGGGAAGTGGAGCAACCGGGAATCGAACCTGCAGCCATAGGGGATGCCGGCACTGCAGGTGGCGGCTTTAGCTGCTATGCCACAGTGCTGCGCCCAAGGTCAACAATTTCCAAGAAGTGCTCATCATAGCAGGGATGTACTGGCCAAAGGTGAGGGAGTGGCCCGCGAATGAACATGTGCCCTGTCCCCGAGGCGCGGGTCACGGTCACGATGCCAACACACACTGCTTCCACTTCGTCCATCACTCTTTCCTGTTTGCCTCCGTTCCCTCACCCAGTGAAGATGTACTTTGTGCTTGTCACCTATGTGCGCTCTGGAACATATCAAGGCGCTTACCAGGAGTCTTCCTGGAGCCCCGTGTCAGCAGGGCTGGACGGAATCAGTGACTGTACAGCAAACCCAGCAAATCAGACCCTGTCCTGCAGGAAAGGAGGCGGGGACAGCCACAGCAGGCTGGGGCATCAGGACCCCGTGTGCCTGTGTGTGTTAGAGGTGGGAGCTGGGTGGGGGGAGGGCTGAAACTGTGACTGCCACCGCCCGCAGGGCTGGCCCCGGGGTCCCTCTCGGAGCAAATCAGGGGACAGCCAAGAGACCATGATCCCTGCATTTCTTTCCTTTCCTGTTTTTTAACTTGGTTTCTCTGCTGAGTGACATTTCCCTTTGCATTTCGTGGTCTCTCTAGGTTCCTGGTCTCTGTAGTCGTCTGTGTTCTGTTATCATAACCAAATACCTGAGGCTGGGTAACGTATGCGCTGGAGAGGTTTATTTAGTTCACGAACCCGATGGATAGAGGGTTCCAGCGGCACGGCGCCGAGGTCCTGGCGATGCCCCTGGCTGCATCACAGCACAATGGAAAAGCAAGTAGAACGCGAATCTGCCCGCGTGCAGAGGAACCACGTGGCAAGACAGAGAGTCAGAAAGATTCAGGGGTCCAGGCTTGCTCTTTTGTAGCAACCCAGTCTTGTGAGAGTCAACCCGGGTTCGAGATTAAGCCAACAGTATCAGCTAGTTTTCACAGAGCCTGTCATTCTCATTTCTGTACACTAGATGGCAGTAAAGTTAAAGAAAAAACATCTGAAACTGAGGTTTTATTCTTAAAGGAATTTCCTGAGTTTTCCCACGGAGCCAAACCTGTAGAAAGACAAAGTTAAATTCCAGCAAGGCACAACAGGACACTAACATATCACAGGCTCGTGTGTGCACAGTGCTTCTAGAGTAGAATGCATTCTCTGGCTTAAACATTTTACAGAACTGATTTATTTTTATTTCAAAGGTACACACACAGAGACAGGTAGAGAAAGAGAGAAAGATAAAAGGGGGAGATAGAGATAGATAGAGAGAAAGAGAGGGAGAGAGGCAGTGAGAAAGATAAAGGGGAGGGATATATATATATGTAGAGAGAGAGAGAGAGAGAGAGAGAGAGAGTCAGAAACAGGCTCAGAGAGATCTTCAGTCCCCTGGTTTATTCCCCAAGTGCCTGCAACAGCTGAGACTGGGCCAGGACAGAGCCAAAAGTCAGGAAGCTGGAATGGAGCCAGGACTCAAACTCAAGGGTGCAGGTGTCCCAAGTGGTGGCTTATCCCCTGTACCAAACACCCACGCCATCTGTCTTTACCTGTCTGTCTGTCTCTCTGCCTTTCCCTCTGTGTGTGCCTTTACCACATAAATGTTCACCGAATCTGAGAACTATAAGCTCCAACTTCCAGTATGCAACTTAATTTGATATTATTCTTAAAAATGGGGCTGGGATTTTTTTTTTTTTTTTTTTTTTGCCATTTGGAGGACATCATTTAGTTGGTTCATTCAATATCATTCAATGTGAAAATTAGAAAATGTAAGGAAGCCGGCTTTCCAGCAGTTTTCAAATAACATGGTAAGAAATGTAAGGGTAATGGTATCTGGGGTGTGGTTGTGGTGCAGTGGTTAAGCTGAGACTTGGGACAGCTGATCCCACACCAGGAGTGCCTGGTATCCAGTCTCACCTCTGTTTCCGATCCAGCTCCCTGCTAGCGTGCAGGGAAAGAAGTGGAGGATGGCCCAAGTCCTTGGGTTCCTGTAGCCCACATGGGAGGCCCAGATGAAGCTTCTGGCTCCTGGCTTTGGCCTGGCCCAGACATGGCTGCTGTGGGCATTTGGGGAGTGAACCAGTGGATAGAAGATCTCCCTCTCTCTTTGTTGCTCTCTTTCAAATATCATTTTTTATTTTATCTTTAAAATATTTTATTTACTTATTTGAGAGGTAGAGTTACAGACAGAGGGAGGAAAAGACAGACAGAAAGGTCTCCCATCTGCTGGTTCGCTCTCCAAATGACTGCAATGGCTGGAGCTGGGTTGATCTGAAACCAGGAGCCAGGAGCTTCTTTTAGGTCTTCCCACGTGGGTGCAGGGGCCCAAGCACTTGGGCCATCTTCCACTGCTTTCCCAGGCCATAGCAGGGAGCTGGATTGGAAGTGGAGCAGCCGTTCCCAAACCGGCGCCCATATGGGATGCCAACACTGCAGACGGTGGCATTACCTGCTACATCACAGTGCCGGCCTCAGGCTATATGTATTTGAATGGATAAGATCATGAATGGATTTGTCCCAAATACTTTAAGTTGGCAAACTAGGCAGGCTGTTTGTGGATCAGGTAGGGGCAGTAATACAGAACTAAAAACAGAAAGCAGTTTAAAAAACAAAAAAGCAACTCTAACAGAATTTTCATCGTATCTTCTCACCTCATTAAGGCCCTTCCTTATTTAGACACAATTCTGGCTTAAGAACATGTCAATCCCTTAAATGAGATCCTTGTTAAGGATTCTTTGAATGCAGGACAAAGTTTGTGCTTTAAATTTCCATCCACAGTAAATGACGTAATTCCAAAGCTGAGTACTCCCAGACTCCCTTAGGAAGATTTCATGGGGCAGAGTCCTTCATTTAGGGCGTGCAAAAGCACACACTTGTATTTTGTATGGCAAAGCATGGGAGCTTTCAGATTGCCTTCCACAAAGAGGGTGAAAAATACATCTCCTGTTGAAATATGCTTAAAAGCAACTTTTTATTCAGTTTTAACACCATGTAAGAATCCACATAGTAGATTTTTGGTCTGCAAATGGTCCCTTTTAATAATTTCTCATTGAAAAAAATTTGGTCTCTAAACCTTTCTTTTTAACACCCTTTTGAAGGTCAACCCGAAGAAGTGTGGTGTGGACCCTGAGTCTTCCTGGGGATGAAGGCTCCAGGAGGAGGGCAGGTGCCTGAGAAGTCGGATGGACAGGCAGCCAGGGAGACCTCAGGGAAGTGAGGGGTGGGAGCCAGGCTGATGCCTGCGGACAGGTACCACGGAAGACCTGCTTCATCCTGGGTCTGCCTTGGGGCCCAGCAAATAGTTGAGAAGACAAAAAAAGCCACTGATGCCCAATGTCTCTATCAAGCATCTTTGTTTAGCACACTGGCGATTCCTCCAAAAGTTACACAAAGACTTACCATATGATCCAGCCATCCTGCCTCCAAGTATACGCAGCTGTGCATCGCTTGATGAGAGGGGTGTGGTCACAGGAGCGTATCTGTGGTCAGGTGACTGTCCCTGGGAGATCACTGCAGGGTGCGCTCATGCTCCCTATGTGGCTGAGCCCACGGCACATCCAGGTTGTATGGTATGGCCTATTGTTCCTATTGTATACACCTGCATGTCTCATATTCTGAGCACTATAAGTGATTGCGGCACAACGTGTGTCTAGACACAGAGAAGGTACAATGAGATCACTAGGTAGTAGGAATTTTGCAGCTGCATGAGAATCTTCTAATCTTCAGCACCATTGTTTATGATCCAAAACATTTGTGATGGGGTGCACGACTATGCTCAAAAGAACTGAAAACAGGATCCCGAAGAGTCACTTGTGCATCTGTGTTGGTAGAAGCATTATTCACAATAGCCACAAGGTGGAAGCAAACCAGTGTGCGTCTATGGATGAATGTGATACATGGAACAGGGGGAGTGGGAACCACAGAACCAGGCCAGCCTTAGGAAGGAATGAGGTTCTGAGAAACCCTGCAACACGGATGAATCTGGAAGATACTGTGCTGGGGCCGGCGCTGTGGCGCAGCGGGTTAAAGCCTGCCTGCAGCGCCGGCATCCCATATAGGCACTGGCTGGAGTCCTGGCTGCTCCACTTCCGATCCAGCTCTCTGCTGTGGCCTGGGAAAGCCACAGAAGATGGCCCAAGTCCTTGGGCCCCTGCACCTGCATGGGAGACCTGTAAGAAGCTCCTGGTTCCTGGCTTCGGATTGGCACAGCTCTGGCTGCTGTGGTCATTTGGGGAGTGAACCATCGGATGGAAGATATCTCTCTCTCTCTCTGGCTCTCTCTCTGTAACTCTTTCAAATAATTTTAATAATAATAAGATACTATGCTGAGTGACATAAGCTGGACACAAAGGGTTAAATACGGTGTATCCCACTTACCTGAGATACCCGGAAGAGGCAAATCCACAGAGACAGAGAGTGGAACGGAGGTTACTAGGGACGAGGAGAGGGGATGACAGACTTATTATTGAATGGGTATAGGGTTTCTGCTTAGGATTATGATAAAGGTTTGGAAATTGATAGTGGTGCTGGTTGTATAGTGTTGTGATTGTACTCAATGCCCCTGACACTTAAAATGGAAAAGCTGACAGTATGCATATTGTACCACAGTAAAACACTTTCTTTTTTTATACTTATTTATTTATTTGAAAGTCAGCGTTACACAGAGAGGCAGGGAAAGAGAGAGAGAGGTCTTCTATCTGCTTGTTCACTCCCTAGTTGGCTACAATGGCCAGAGCTGTGCCAATCTGAAGCCAGGAACCAGGAGTTTCTTTCGGGTTTCCCACGCGGGTGCAGGGGCCCAAGGACTTGGGCCATCTTCTACTGCTTTCCCAGGCCATAGCAGAGAACTGGATCAGAAGTGGAGCAGCTGGGACTTGAACCGGTGCCCATGGGATGCCAGCACTGCAGATGGCGGCTTTAACTGCTTTGCCACAGTGCTGGCCCTGTAAAACACTTCATTTTTATTATTCATGCTTTATCCTTTCAAAGTAACTGATTTGCAAGAACTTAAAGATATGGAATCCTTTCCAGCAATAGTAATCATAGTTTTTTTTTTTTTCTCTTTGCCATCTTCTTATTCACCATGAAAAATACACACTCACACAAGAAAATTGCTTTAATTATCTGCATTACACCAAGCGTCTTTTCATAAGAAGGAAGTACATGACTAGAATGAACTCCCACTAAGAGATTCTTATTTCTAAGGGAAAGAGTTGGAAGCCAACAGCACATTCAATAACTGGGAAGTAGTGCGAGCCATTTTAAAGCATTGGGGCAGTAGAGTGTGATACACCCATTAAATGCTGATGATGTGAAAACGCTCATAGTAAATGCTAAATAAAAACAGCAAGCTGTAAGATTTTGTTGTGAGGTAGAATCTTATTGTAGTTGGAAGGAAAATATACACCCCAGGAACCAAAAACAAAATGTGATTTATTTATGATGTTAATGGTGTTGACTCTGGTGCTAGCATTATCAATGCTGTTTATTTTCATTGTATTTTAAAATACTTTCATAATAAATCCTCAGCATTTATTATGAAAATTTCATACAGAAAATCCAAAAGACTGATGTATAAACATCTGTTCTTCCTGTTTGATTCAATAACTGTTAATGTTTTCTTGTACTTCATTTTATTTATTCATCTATGTGTGTGTCTATCAATCAATCATCTATTTATCTTCTATCTATCCATCAATCATATGTATTAAACTATCTATCATCTCCATCATCATCATCAGTTTTGGGAACTGGCAAATTATAGCTCAATGCCAAATATAGCCCTATTTACAAATAGCTGAATTAAGAAGGGTTTTTGGGGGCCGGCACTGTAATGTGGCAGGTAAAGCTGCTGCCTACAGTACCAGCATCCTGTGTGGGTGCTGGTTCAAGAACTGGCTGATCCACTTCCAATCCAGGTCCCTGCTAATGTGCCTGGGAAAGCAGTGAAGGATGGCTTAGTTCCTTGGGCCCCTGCACTCATGTGGGAGCCCTGGAAGAAGCTCCTAGCTACTGGCTTTGGATAGGCCTTGCTTTGGTCTTTGTGGCTATTTGGGGAGTGAACCAGTGGATGGAAGACCTCTCTCTGTGTGTCTCTTCTTCCTTCTCTATGACTTTGCCTTTCCAATAAATAATCTTTTTTTTTTTTAAAGAAAGGTCTTTACATTTTAAATAGCAACATTTTAACTGATTATAGAGATGTCTGACTTTTCTTCTTGATTTGCAAGGCCTAAATACTTACTATGTGCTTTACAAAGAAAATTTGCCAACCCCTGTTATACATACAAACACATATACACACTCACACACACACGTGCACACACACAAATTTTGCTGGAGAATCTGACAACAAGTTTCAGACATTAGAGGACTTCTACCTCAATTACTTCATTGTACATCTCTTAAAAATAAATTAATATTTGTGATTAATCATAAACTATTAGCACACCAAACAAAATGAACTTTCTTCATGAACATCCTAAAATACCTACCAATAGACAAATTTGTGTGGGATTGCATGTGTAAACTTTATAAAGTGACATAAATAACTTTATAACAATAAAATTAAAACATGTATTTTAAAATTAGGTTATTATAACCAAAATGTATTTTTAGCATCAATTTTATTACTCAAAGGATTCAGCAACTCTGATCTAATCAAACTGCTCCTCTGGGAATTTCAAATTAATATTTAACATTTCAGTATCAAATACCACATATTCATAAAGCAGCCAGAATTTGTGGTGTTTGTTAGCTAAGGGATCTTCAAAAAGTTCATAGAAAATGCAGATGATCAAAAAATTATGCATGGATTTCAAAATTGTTAGCACCCCAAAATGTTTATTTTCATGTTGCCAAGAACTCTATGAAGTATCTTAACAGATGTAGGCAGGACAAGGCAGGATACTGTGTATTATTTTCTGTATTAAAAATCATCTCCAATGTTTCTAATAATGTTTAAGGCTGGTGGTTCACCTTACGGCTTCTTTCCCAATTTTTCTGTGTATGACTGTAACTTTCCGTCACCAGAGGCTGTGTGGTTCCAGGCTGGACACACAGCCGGCAGCTGCTGAGACCAAACCTGGCTCACAGAGTGTCAGGACTCCCGCAGCTCCGAAGTGGAAACCCTGTGCCTTTGCGGCAACCTCGCATTTCAGAAGCAGAAGCAAGGCCGTTAAGGCAAACAAAACATTGAGGAAACTCTGGCTTCAACATTTGAATGGATTTTGAGAAAAGCAGGACTTTATCCCCCTGGTAGGCATGTTTTTGTAAACATTCCATTTTGTGTGTGTGTGTGTGTGTGTGTGTGTGTGTGACATGACTCATGTGATGGAGCCACCTGATTTAGCTGCGGTAGAACTAAGTCTAGAAGGTTTGGGGAAGGATCGGTTCCTAAAATTCCCCACTGCCAATCATGACTGTGGTTACATGAGGTTCGTGTCTTAAAAAAAAAAAAAAAAGAGAGAGAGAGATCTGTGTTCCCAAGCTCTGGAATTATTGAAACCATGTACTTTTGTAAGCTCATCTTTGCTCTGTTTGAGCCATAATGTTATGTCTGCCTTCACCACAATCATATGAATAGGGAGCCGTTGGGCCAGGCCCTCTCCCAGCATGCAATGGGGTAGAATCTGCCTTACACAGTCAGCTGAAAGAGCAAACAAATTCTACTCCTTCCTTGACCAAGAGCTCAGAGAGAAATATCCTAGAAAATTATTTTTTAAAATTGGAGATAATCAGGGCATGTTAGGTATTAGGAAAATATCGAGCAATAAACATACAAACACACACACACATGTGCAAGTTTGGGAAAGAATGACAGTGTGTGCCTTTGCAAACATTTATTCATTTTATTTTATTTTTAAAAGATTTATTTATTTACTCTGAAGTCCACAGTTACAGGCAAGAGAGGGAGGGACGGAGAGAGAGAGAGAGAGGAAGAGAGAGAGAGAGAGAGAAATCTTTAATCAACTGGATCACTCCCCAGAGGGCCACAACAGCCAGGGCTGGGCCAGGCCAAAGTCAGGAGCCAAGAGCTTCATCCGGATCTCCCGCATGGGTGGCAGGGGCCCAAGTACTTGGGCCATCTTTGCTGCTTTTACCAGGCCATCAGCAAGGAGCTGGATCAGCAGTGGAGCAGCTGTGCACACCTGGGATGCCTGTGTCATGGGTGGCAGCTTTACATGCTATGCCATGATGCGAACCCCCTTGAAAACTTTTACTGGCTAAAAGATGTAGTACTGTTATCCTTTTTACAAACATGAAACATATAGGCTTTCCATATGCTCGATGAGATCTGAAGAGATGATATTAATTATGGAAGACCAAATTCAGAGTAGGCAGATATATTTGAATTTGCTTAATAAATATTCATTCCTTTGGAGAGAAATTGTTGCAAAACATTTTCTTTCCATTTAGTGGGAAGTATCCTTTTAGCACTCCCTCCTCTTTGTATGCTGTTCTCATCATATGACAATACATTTTTGGCTTAGACTAAATACAACATGTGGCTCTTCCTTATTATATCAACTCAGAATCCTGTTTATAAATCTGTTTGGCTCCAGGAAGCTGCTTTTCTATGTTAATGTCATTTCTCCAACACATCTTCTTTCATTCATTCCTTTGTCATTCATGTACTGATCACCCACTATGGTTAATTTTATTTTAAAGATTTTTAAAATTTTTATTTGAAAGAGAGTTACAGAGAGGCAGAGGCAGAGGCAGAGGCAGAGAGAGAGAGAGAGAGAGAGAGAGAGAGAGAGAGAGAGATGTTCTATCTGCTGGTTCACTCCCCAATTGGCTGCAACGGCTGGAGCTGCGCTGATCTGAAGCCAGGAGCTGGGGGCTTCTTCCAGGTCTCCCACGCAGGTGCAGAGGCCCAAGGACTTGGGTCATCTACTGTTTTCCCAGGCCATAGCAGAGAGCTGAATTGGAAGTGGAGCAGCCAGGATGCGAACAGGCACCCATATGGGATGCTGGTACTACAGGCAGTGGCTTTACCTGCTACCCCACAGCATTGGCCCCGATTTTGAACTTATTATAAGATAAAAAGCAAAAAGAAATTTCAGAAACCAGACCAAAACAAAGGGTACATACCATTATGACGATACCTTGTCATAAGCTTAAACAAAATTGGGGTTGGGTGGGTGATTGGTGCGTGGTTAAGACACTTCTGTGGGATGCCTGCATCTCATGTCTGAGTGTCTGGGTTCAAGTTTCGGCTCTGCTTCTGACCCTAGTTTCCTGCTTATATATACACTCTGGGATGTAGCCCATGATGGTTCAAGCAGTTGGATCCCTGCCACCCATATGGGAGACCCAGATTGAGTTCTGGGCTCCTGGCTTCAGCCTAGTTTGGCTCTGATTGTCACAGGCATCTGATGTGTGAACCTGCAGATGGAAGATCCTTCTCTGTCTGTCCCTGTCTCTCTCTATCTTTGAAGTAAAACTGAATATATGTAAATAAAAACAGAAAAAGAAAAAGGTAGAGATTAGATCAAATGGCTAGAGTAATTAGACTGCATTAAGCTGTCTGTACAGCAAGGAAAGCATGGTGTGCAGGATTCAGAAGCTGACTACGACGGACAGGCTAGTGGGCTAGCACATGGACTCCTGCAGCATGGTGTGGAGAGCCTAGCTTTAGTTTTGAGTGTTGCATTCATGGGAGCTTATTGCATTATTAAAAGCAAATAATTGGGGCCAACACTGTGGTGTAGTGGGTTAAGCTTTTGCCTGCAGTGCCGGCATCTCATATGGGCATTGGTTCTAGTCCTGGCGGCTCCACTTCTGATCCAGCTCTCTGCTATGGCCTGAGAAGGCAGTGGAAGATGACCCAAGTGCTTGGGCCTCTGTACCCAGGTGGGAAACCTGGAAGAAGCTCCTGGCTCCTGGTTCCTGGCTTTGGATCGGTGCAGCTCTGGCCATTAGATGAGTGAACTGGTGGGTGGAGGACCTCTGTCTCTGTCTCTCCCTCTCTTTATCTGTTACTCTGCCTTTCAAATAAATACATCTTTAAAAAGAAAAAAAAAACAAACAAACAAGTAATTAGGGCCTGGCATTGTGGCCCAGTGGGTTATGCTGATCCCATATGAGCGCCATTTAGAATTCCAGCTGCTCCACTTCTGATCCAGCTCTCTGCTGTGGCCTGGGAGAGCAGTAGAAGATGGCCCAAGTCCTTGGGCCCCTGCACCCACATGGGAGACCCTGAAGAAGCTCCTGGCTCCTGGCTTTGGATCAGTGCAGCTCGGGCCATTGTGGTCATTTGGGGAGTGAACCAGCAGATGGAACATCTGTTCGTCTCTGTCTGTCCCTCTCTCTGTCACTCTGCCCTTCAAATAAATAAATGCACATTTGAAAGCAAGCACATAAAGAAAAAAAACCAAGTAATTAGAAACAAAGGCAAACTCAGTAGAAGAGGGCCATGATGAGAACGGTGAGAATGTCATGAAATTCTCCATGTGATTGGGCTATTATTATTATTATTATTATTTTTTCATCTGAGGACAATCTACAAACAGAAAAACAGACAGTGAAGGGTGAGGGGAAAGAGTATGAAACTAAGAAATCGAGGAGAGGGGGAGAGAAAGGTGCTTCAGTTCTTTTGAAGGAAGAGAGAAAACGCATTTCCAAGAGCCCACGACGGCTTGGAAAAGACCAGAAGCCCGAGGGGTGGGACTGCTGAGCCAGCCCGGCGGCATCTGTGGGCCGTGAGAGGGACGTGAGAGGGACGCCGTGTCTCTGCGCCAGTGTCAGCCAGAGGGCGGCATTCCAGGAAAGGGTGATGTGGTTCCACACCACACCACGGTTTGGCCCAACGGACGCGGACACTTAGCCAACCCCGGGGTTTCCAAAAACTCAGAATGTTGTGGGCAGTTCTGGCTTCTTCCATACGCCAGGCTATTCATTAGAGGAACCGCTGGATTAACCCCTGGCCATAATCACCTAGGATGAGGGCTTGTGCGCGGACGCTTGTTGTGGGTAACCGAGGGGACTCCCCTGGGAGCCGCCATCTTGTTGCAGCCCTCCTGGTGCCCAGAGTGGGAGCGGTGCATGCTGGGAGCATGCCAAGTACGCATGCGCGCAGGAAACTCGCTGGCCAGTGCTAACTGCTGTCCTGCCGCCTCCGGGGCCGCAGGGTGACTGGCCGGTGACTGGCGCGCCTCTTAGCCGTAAAGTGACCTGAATGTGTTAGAAGTATTTGAGCCATCTGGGGTACAGAGAGATTTCTTCTGTCCTTCTCTGAGTGGCTTTGTCGCCTTTGTGGACAGTAGACAGCCGCAGATAAAACCAGAGGAGAAAGTGCCCAGGAAGCCGGCTCCCTGGACACACAGTGCTGCCCTGTGTCACTCCTTCCTTGGGAATGAATACCGTTAAAACACAATGAAATGGGGGCCAGCTTTGTGACACAGCAGTTGAAGCTGCAGCCTGCCTTGCTGGCATCCCCTGTGGGTGCTGGTTGCTGTTCCGGCTGCTCCTTTTCAGATCCAACTCCCTGCTAATGCACCTTGGAAGCAGCAGAGGATGGTACAAGCACCTGGGCCCCTGCCACTCACATAGGAGCTCTGATGGCCTTCCAGGCTCCTGGCTTTGGCCTGGCCCAGCCCCAGCCATTGCAGCCATTTTGGGAGTAAGCCAACGGATGAAAGATCTCTCCTTCTCTCCCTGTAACTCTGCCTTTCAAACAAACAAATCTTTTTATTTGAAAGGCAGAGTTGCAGAGAGGGAGAGAGAGAGAGAGAGAGAGAGAGAAAGTCTTCCATCTGCTGGGTCACTCTCCTAATGGCTGCAATGGCTGGAGCTGGGCTGATCCAGAGTCAGGAGCCAGGAGCTTGGTCTGGGTGTTCGACTCAGGGCCCCCGTAAGTCTAGGAGGCCTTCACGGAGTTGGAATTGACCTTAGTAGGCATGGATGCATACGCTCTTGAAATGTAAGGTGAATTGACAGGAGCTCACCACAGGGGCTTCTGTGTTCCCAGTGAAACAGGTGCTGTATCCCCAGAACCTAGAGCTTTTCCTGACACACTGTGGATGCCCAGTGAATGCTTATAGAGTGACCAGAGGGGTCCATTCGGTCAAACGAATCATCTAGGTGTGGAATTGACGCCTGGAAGGAGAGAGCCTGTGTTCTGGAACATCAGCTTTGGGCCATCTGCAGTAAGAGGTAGGCAGAGTCCTCGTGAGGCCAGTTCAACTGCTGTCATCATGAGACCACTGCCATTTTTTTTTCTATCAGTTTTCAAGAATCAGGGAATGCCGTGTGGTTTTAATTTTTACTTGAAAATCCAGATGTCTGTACGGTTTCCTGGAAGTTCCGAGAAAATGGAGGCATGAGTGAATTTGTGCATTTGGGTGTTGAAAGATCAGGAGAGATGAGGGGAACCACGGGAACCGTGGCCTTGAACCACCCCAAGTGACCTTGTTTCTTTCCCTTCTTACTTCCCCGATCTAATCCTTGGCTCTGCAGACACGTTAACCTTAAAACACTTCAATCATTCCAGCAACTATGACATGAATAGAATTTATGGCTAAGGACTTAATTTTTTAAATGAGCTTTTGTTTTATTTATTTATTTATTTATTTATTTATTTATTTTTGGCAGGCAGAGTGGACAGTGAGAGAGAGAGAGAGAGACAGAGAGAAAGGTCTTCCTTTTGCTGTTGGTTCACCCTCCAATGGCCGCCGCATCGTGCTGATCTGAAGCCAGGAGCCAGGTGCTTCTCCTGGTCTCCCATGCGGGTACAGGGCCCAAGCACTTGGGCCATCCTCCACTGCACTCCCTGGCCACAGCAGAGAGCTGGCCTGGAAGAGGGGCAACCGGGACAGAATCCGGCGCCCCGACTGGGACTAGAACCTGGGGTGCCAGCACCGCAAGGTGGAGGATTAGCCTAGTGAGCCGCGGCGGCGGCCATGAGCTTTTGTTTTAATCAAAGCAATAAATGTATATAGCTTTTAAAGGTCAAGTAATACAAAAGGGCTTATCACAAAAAACAATGTATTTTTTTTTAAAAAAGATTTATTTATTTATTTGAAACTCAGAGTTACACAGAGAGAGGAGAGGCGGAGAGAGAGAGAGAGAGATAGAGAGAGGTCTTCCCTCCGCTGGTTCACTCCCCAGTTGGCTGCAATGGCTGGAGCTGCGCCGATCTGAAGCCAAGAGCCAAGAGCTTCTTTTGGGTCTCCCACGCGGGTGCAGGGGCCCAAGGACTTGGGCCATCTTGTACTACTTTTCCAGGCCATAGCAGAGAGCTGGATCGCAAGTAGGGCAGCGGGGACTTGAACCGTCACCCACATGGGATGCCTGCACTTCAGGCAGTAGCTTTACCTGCTACGCCACCTCTCTCGCTCCAAGATAACTCCGTTTGTTTTATTTTTATTTATTTGGATAGGCAGAGTTAGACAGAGAGAGACAGAGAGAAAGGTCTTCCTTCCATTTGTTCACCCCCAAAATGGCTGCTACGGCCGGCTTGCTATGCCGATCTGAAGGTAAGAGTCAGGTGCTTCTCCTGGTCTCCCATGGGGTGCAGGGCCCAAGGACTTGGGCCATCCTCTACTGCACTCCCGGGCCACAGCAGAGAGCTGGACTAGAAGAGGAGCAGCCAAGACAGAATCTGGCGCCCCAACTGGGACTAGAACCCGGTGTGCCGGCGCCGCAGGCGGAGGATTAGCCTAGTGAGCCATGGTGCTGGCACAACAATGTATTCTTATTCATCTTTCTCAACCTTTGGTTCCCCAACTCAGAGGCAGAAACTCTCAACACAGATCTATTTAATAGTTACCTCCATTTTTCTTTTCTGTCAAATGAAAAGATGTCTATTTCACTCATATACGGTAAATTTTTTTTTTGCTTTTAAAGATTTATTTATTTACTTGAAAGGCAGAGTTACAGAGAGAGAGACAGAGAAAGAGAGAAAGTCAGAGAGAGAGAGAGAGAGAGAGGTCTTCTATCCACTAGTTCAATCCCCAAATGGCTGCAACGGCAGGAGCTGGGTTGATTCATATCCAGGGGCCAGGGGTTTCCTCCAGGTCTCCCATGTGGGTGCAGGGGCCCAAGCACTTGGGCCATTTCTGCTGCTTTCTGAGTTGCATTATCAGGGAGCTGGAATGGAAGCAGAGCAGCTGGACTCACACTGGTGCCCATATGGGATGCGGCGCTGGCGTTACCCACATACAGAGTCAGCCCCATATACAGTAAATTTTAAAACAGTCACAGCTCAATAAAACTATAGTAATACACATTCTTTTTTTAAAAGATTTATTTTATTTATTTGAAAAAGTTATATAGAGAGGTAGAGACAGAGAGAGAGATCTTCCATCTGTTGGTTCACTCCCCAGATGGCCTCAATGGCCAGAGCTGTGCCGATCAGAAGCCAGGAGCCAGGAGCTTCTTCCGGGTCTCTCACATGGGTGCGGGGGCCCAAGGACTTGGGCCATCTTGTACTGCTTCCCCAGGCCGTGGCAGAGATCTGGATGGGAAGTGGAGCAACCGGGACTCGAACCAGTGCCCGTATGGGATGCCCGCACAGCAGGCTGGGGCTAAAACCCACTGTGCCCTTGTGCATGCCCAGTAATACACCATTCTTAACAATTTGCTTGAAACAGACTTTAAGTTTGATCAAACACTCTATTTGCAGGAAAACTGATACATACAGGATTTTTTTTTTTTGCTTTGGATTTTGGATTCTTTTTTAAATTTAGCTCCCACATATAAAGGAGAACTTGGGGTGTTTGTCTTATGTGTTTCACTTATTTCCTTCAACAGCATGAAGGACTTAGGCTTTTTTTTTTATTCTAGCTCATCAATGCGCTGTTTTGCTAAAGGGTCATGGAAGTCTCTGGTTAGGATTTACTTTAAAAAACTTCACCGTCCTTGTATTTCTTGGTCGTTAGAGAATGCAATCTAGCTTTCTCTAGTGCTGAAGAGTAATTTATGTTTCTCAGGCCGACAGCTGGGAGGCCAAATTCATCTGCAATGCACTTCCAGCCAGCAGAGGGAGCACTGCCCTTACCCTGTGATGTCAGGGCTTGAACTGATAGGGTTTGCCTGGAAACTTCTCGGCTAGTCTGGATAACCAAGACTCCATTTGGTGCTGGGGAGAAAGGTGTCTGGGACTCTGACTTGGGTTCTTGGCCATCCAGATTCTATATAACGGAATCAGCCGAGTTCCAGATTTGTTTGCTTACCGTGGGGGACTGCTGATGGCTGTGCAGGGACCGCTGTTCTGTGTTGCTCCCCACAGTGAGAAGTCATGCGACCAATTTGTACTAAGTCCACAAAGAGCTGACCTAAATAAACTCGCCCGCGGGATTAGATGCTGGCATCCGGGATCTCTTGTGCAACAGACTGAGTATTTCCGCATCCTTGGAAGCTTTTTGATGTGGCTGCTGGGCGGGCAGCTCGGATGTCTCCCTTCTCCCTGACTCAGCAGTCCCGTCTGGGGAGTCACCTCTGTCCACAGCTGACTCAGCAGACACGAGACTTCTCTGTTTCATGCTCTGCCTGGCCACAGCCCCACCCCTGCTTCTGCAAGAGTGGGTTATGCAACATTTTGTGCATCCTGTCACCATTGCATTCTCCCTATGTTTCCAATCACTGGTCCCCAGACTTGAGGGAGGATACTTTTCTTTGCTTGGAAATGGATGGCTTTGTAATACGAGAGGTCTTCACAAAGCACCTGGGGAATGCTTATTCTCAAAAAGTTGTGCATGGGGGGCCGGCACTGCGGGCGGGCCTGCAGTGCCGGCGTCCCATAGGGGCGCTGGTTTAGTCCTCGCTGCTCCACTTCCCATCCAGCTCTCTGCTATGGCCTGGAAAAGCAGTGGAAGATGGCCCAAGTGCTTGGGCCCCTGGGAGACTTGGAGGAAGCTCCTGATTCCTGGTTTCGGATCGGCACAGCTCTGGCGGTTGTGACCAATTGGGGAGTGAACCAGTGGATGGATGACCTCTCTCTCTCTCTCTCTGCCTTTCCTTCTCTCTCTGTGTAACTCTGATTTTCAAATAAATAAATAAATCTTAAAAAAGAAGTTATGCATGAGTCTCAACATTCATTTTTTGCACTCCAAAATAAACATATCTTTTAATTCCATTTTTCCCCCTGCAGTTTTTGAAGCACCCTTGTATTTACCCACCCGTCATTGCTGGCTTTTCTTTTGACTCAATTCTTTTGACACTTGCAGTTAGTCTTGTGATAGTTCTTTAATTTCTTGAATGGGTATTTGGATTGTTCTACTTCATTCAGGATTTTCTTTGTTTGCATCTTCTCTCTCCAGCTGCTTAATAGGAGTGAATGCTTGGGTGTGGAAATAACTTCTTTGAACTAGGATCCTGGTCTTTCCCATAAAAGTCAAGACTTCTTTTGTTTGCTTAAAGATGTTTTGGAGAAGAAACATGTAGGAATTCAGTGCCAACTAGCAATTCCCACTTTCCACCCTTTTGCTTTCTTAAAAGATTTATTTATTTGAAAGACAGAGTGATATGGAGAGAGGGAGGGAGGGATGGGAGGGGTAGAGGGGAAGAGAGAGAGAGAGAGAGAGAGAGAGAGAGAGAGAGAGATCTTCCATATGCTGGTTCGCTCCCCAAATGCCCACAGTGACTGGGGCTGGGCCAGGACAAAGCCAGGAGCCAGGAGCTCCATCAGAGCTCCTATGTGGGTGGCAGGGCCCCCAGTACTTGGGCCATCATCTGTTGCTTCCAAGGTGCACTAGCAGGGAGCTGTCTGAAGCAGAGTGCAGAGTAGCCGGGACCCTAACTGGCACTCCGATATGGGATGTGGGCATCCCAAATGCTGGCTTAACCTGCTGTGCCATGATGCCAGCCCCTTCCACCATTTTTTAAAAGATCTATTTATTTATTTGAAAGTCAGATTTATACATACACAGAGAGAGGGAGAGGCAGAGAGAGAGAGAGAGAGAGGTCTTCCATCTGCTGGTTCACTCCCCAGATAGCCGCAATGGCCGGAGCTGAGCCTTTCCGAAGCCAGGAGCCAGGAGCTTCTTCCGGGTCCCTCACATGGGTGCGGGGGCCCGAGGACTTGGGCCATCTTCTACTGCTTTCCCAGGCCATAGCAGAAAGCTGGATCGGAAGTGGAGCAACCAGGACTTGAACTGGTGCCCATATGGGATGCTGGCACTGTAGGTGGTGGCTTTACCTGCTACGCCACAGCGCTGGCCCCCCTTCCACAATTTTGAAGAAAGAAAAAGGAATTTGTGTTATTTGAGATTCAACTGATTCTTCCTCTCCTCTACTGTCCAGTTTTACAATATGTTGACTTTTTCAGAGTCACTCTAGGTTATAAAGTGGGTAGGCTCTGATTTTGTTCTCTTTGGCTCTTTTCTACGTCACCTTTTTGTTTTTTTTTTTTTTTTAAAGATTTATTTGAAAGTCAGAGTTTTATATATGTTATACACACACACACACACACACACACACACACATATAGGGAGAGACACAGAGACAGGTCTTCCATCTTCTGGTTCACTCCCCAAGTGGCCACCATGGCCAGGGCTGGGCCAGGCCAAAATCAGAAGCCAGGAGCTTCCTCTGGATCTCCTTCGTGGCTGGCTGGGCCCAAGCACTTGGGCCATCTTCTGCTGCTGTATTGCGAGTGGAGCAGCTGGGACATTAGCCGATGCCCTTCTGGGATGTCAGTGTCACAGGTGGTGGCTTTAACCACTCTGCCACAATGCCACTCCCTCTACGCCCCCCCCCCTTTTGGTGAGTGGGTGGGGAGTGAATATTCTCTAATAGGTGAGAACCTTCTCTATGTTTCTGGTAAGTTTACTTGGAAGAGAGATTTCCAGTTCAGTGCTGAATTAATCACAAATCACTCCCATCTGACATGCATTGTGAGATTGTGGCTATGTTTTTTCCCCCTCTTTATTTATGTAGTTATTTATTTGAAAGGCAAGGAGGGGGGTGGAGGAGTGAGAGAATTCCCACCCACTGGCTCACTCCTCTGGCTGTCAGAACCAGGGCTGGACCAGGCTGAAGCCAGGAGCTAGGGACTCAGTCTGGGTCTCCTGCATGGCTGCAGGGGCCCAAGAACTTGAGTCATCACTGCCGCCTCCGAGGGTGTGCATTAGCCGGAAGCTGGAGTTGGGAGCTTCCGGTGTTAGAGCTGGGTACTAGACTCAGTCACTCTGATACGGCATGCAGGGGTCCCAGGCAGCATGTTGATCACTACACTAACAACTATAGCCTGTCTCAGTTGACTGTCCTTGACGTATAGCTACAATGACAAAATCCACCTAAATGTCTTGGGTCATTGTGTTCAGAAAAGATACTAATTAAAAAAATTTTTGGGCCAGTGCCGCGGCTCACTAGGCTAATCCTCCACCTGTGGCGCCGGCACACAGGGTTCTAGTCCCGGTTGGGGTGCTGGATTCTGTCCCAGTTGCTCCTCTTCCAGGCCAGCTCCCTGCTGTGGCCCGGGAGGGCAGTGGAGGATGGCCCAAGTGCTTGGGCACTTGCACCCGCATGGGAGACCAGGAGGAAGCACCTGGCTCCTGGCTTCGGGTTGGTGCAGCGTGCCGGCCGTAGCAGCCATTTAGGGGGTGAACCAAGGGAAGGAAGACCTTTCTTTCTGTCTCTCTCTCTCACTGTCTAATTCTGCCTGTTAAAAAAATTATTTTTGAGCCGGCGCCGTGGCTCACTAGGCTAATCCTCCGCCTTGCGGCGCCAGCACACCGGGTTCTAGTCCCAGTCGGGGCACTGGATTCTGTCCCGGTTGCCCCTCTTCCAGGCCAGCTCTCTGCTGTGTCCAGGGGGTGCAGTGGAGAATGGCCCAAGTGCTTGGGCCCTGCACCCCATGGGAGACCAGGATAAGTACCTGGCTCCTGCCATCAGATCAGCGCAGTGCGCCGGCCACAGCGTGCCGGCCGTGGCAGCCATTGGAGGGTGAACCAACGGCAGAGGAAGACCTTTCTCTCTGTCTCTCTCTCACTGTCCACTCTGCCTGTCAAAAAAAAAATTAAAAAAAAATTATTTTTTTAGGAAAGGCAGCTTTATCCTGTGAAAACAGTGACACCTGCCTAAATCTTATTTTGCAATCTGTTTAAAGATCAAGAAGGTAGTTGTATTTATTGGTGCCTTCAAAGTCTGCCCCTGTTCCCATGCCAGGGTGGGATGGGAATGGCTGAGTTGCAAGCACCTGGGGAAATAGAGAAGGTCTGGTGAGTGCGATGGAGAAAGGCTACTGGGGTCTGAGCTGGAAGAGACAAGACATCGTGGAACAAGGGGCCAGATTTTGTGAGGGAGATCCCAGGTGTGGCCTACGCCAGTGGGGGAGGGAAGACAGACGACTGGGAGGTTATAGACGGGGAGGGTGAAAATCAGGTTCCTCACCTGGAGAATCGTTGGCCTGTGAGCTTTGCAGTTTGGTTCTCCTGACTCCTTCTCCTCTTGGAAGTGGTCAGCTCCCCATCTCTGCAAAGAAATACCTGCAAGGAGCTGCCTGTGCAAGGAAAGACAGTTTCATTTTGGCTTATGGTTCTGGAGGTTCACAGTCCAAGATTGGGCAGGCGCCACTGGCTCAGCTTCTAGAGACAGAGCCCCAGCCCAGCACAGCCCAGCATGGGGGAGCAGGTGCTTGTCTGTGTCTCTCCTTATGAAGCACCATATTACATCCAGGGCCTGCACCCTCTACAGCCTCATCCAATCTCATCACTTCCAAAGGCTTCACATCTGAAGATCAAAGCTGGGTTTGGTTTACACCCTCTTAGTTTCATTAACATATGATTTCAGGACAAAAAAATTTTTTTTTTTTGGAAATACAGACAGACACACACACATACACACACACACACACAGAGAGAGAGAGAGAGAAAATCTTCTACCCACTGATTCACTCCCCAAACGGCTACAATGGCTGGGTCTGGGCCAAGCCAAAGCCAGGAGCCAGGAGCTTCCCCCAGGTCTCCCATGTGGGTACAGGGGCCCAAGTACTTGGGCCATCTTCCACTGCTTTCCCAGGCCATCACAGAGCTGGATCTGAAGTTGAGCAGTCAGGACTCAAACTGGCTCCCGTATGGGATGCTGGTATTGCAGGCGGCAACTTTTACCTGCTACACCACAATGCTGGCCCCGGGGAACGAGTCTTAAATCCATGGGCCTTTGGGAAACATAACACCCAAACCGTAGCATTTTTTGGCTGTTTTATCTGGTATTTAGATACTGCTATATTTTTATTTTTATTTGTTTATTTTTTTTTCAAAGATTTATTTATTTATTTGAAAGTCAGAGTTACACAGAGGGAGAAGAGGCAGAGAGAGAGAGAGAGAGAGAGAGAGAGAGAAGGTCTTTCATCAGTTGGTTCACTCCCCTAGATGACCTCAATGGCTGGAGCTGCACCGATCTGAAGCCAGGAGCCAGGAGCTTCCTCCAGGTCTCCCACGTGGGTGCAGGGGCCCAAGGACTTGGGCCATCTTGTCCTGCTTTCCCAGGGCATAGCAGAGAGCTGGATTGGAAGTGGAGCAGCCGGGATTGAACCGGTGCCCATATGGGATGCTGGTGCTTCAGGCCAGGGTGTTAACCCACTGCGCCACAGTGCTGGCCCCTATATTTTTAGTATAGCTGTCCTGTCCTGTCCCCTGCCTTTCCTCAGGCTCTGGCTGCTATTCTTATCTTGGGATATATGTTCCAAGACCCTGAGCGGATACCTTGAAACTGGGGATAGTGCCCAACCCTCTAATTTAATGCCTTTTCCCTCTTAACTAAGATTTTAGCACATACTGTGGCCATAACTTTTGCAGTGTGACAGAGAAGCTAGCATGAGTTTTGAAAGGCAGCATGACAGAGAGAGAGAGAGAGAGAGAGAGAGAGAGAGAGAGAGATTGATTTTCCATCTTCTGGTTGACTCTCCCATTTGCCACAACAGCCAGATCTGGGCCATGCCAAACTTAGGAGCCAGGAACTCCACCCGGGCCTCCCACATGGGCGGTAGGGCCCATGGGCTTGGACCATGTTCCATGGCTTTCCCAGGCACATTAGCAGGAAGCTGGATGGGAAGAAGAGTAGCTGGGATGGTAACTGGCACTCTGATACGGGATGCCGGCATTGTAAGCTGCGGCTTAACCTTCCGTGCTACAATGCCTTTATTTATTTACTTAGCATTAATTACTTGCATTACTTTTTTTTCCCCCTTCACAGTTTACCATAGGTTTTAGCAATCCCATACAAATTTTGTCTTTCCTCATTAGGTGGAGAGCTTCCATTTTTTCACTTAAGGGAGGCACTTCATGGTTTCTTCTTGGCATATCTGAATTGCCAGACATCAGTTCCTGTGTGCTTTGGAGCCCATTCTTGAGTACAGCCAGGGTGACTTGAACACGGAGCCCAGAATCCCGGAACACTGTGATAACCTAGACAGCTGCTAAACTACTTGACCGACACTCAGACAGTGGGGATTCATTGGGCAAAGGAGATTCCTGTCTTGGGCAGGACAGGCAGAGTGGGACAGAATGAAATCTCATCACTCTGCTCAGAATGGCACAGAACTAAAACTTAGGAATTGTTTATTCTGGAAACTTCTATGTTGTGTTGTTGAATCACAGTTGACTGCAGGCAGCTGGAGCCTTGGAGTGTGAAGCTGCGTGGCACAGAGGACGCCTGCACGTCTTACCGGGCTCTCCGTGCCTCCGTGCCCTGCGGTTGGAGAAGTGTCACATGAAAATTGCACAACCAGGCATCCTTCTGAGAAAGTCACTTTCCTTTTCAAGGACTTGACTTGGTCCATTTAGATTTATTATGGACCATCTTGGTATCTCATTTTTTTTAGCTCCCTCTTTTCCTAAATTGTTCTTTCTCAACATCTTGCATTTTTTAAAAAGTTTAATTTATTATTCTGTTCTGGTTTGGAAGTCATGGTTTCTCCATCTTTTCATCACTACCACAGCCGATGTTACATCTGGGCTTAGCACGTTCTCTTACACAATACAAAGACCCTAGAATGTGTAAACTCTGTTTACTTGCTTTCCACCGTGTACACTGTTGCAATGTATTTTATTTCTAGAATGCTCCAGGCCAATGTTCCGGCCCCTCTTGTTAGGTTTATAGATGATTTCCAGCTATGGTAGATTCCTCTTTCTGCATTGGAGTTTCCGAAGTTTTCAAAATATCCCCCAGAAGCGCTATTTCCCATTTTCTAGGGTGCTCAGAGACCTGGAGCCAGGTCTCCCATGTGGGTGACAGGGACTCAAGTATTTGAGCCATCTTCTGCTGCCTCGTGGGTGCGTTGGCAGGAAGCTGGAGTGGAAGTGGAGGAGCTGTAACCCGAACTGGAACTCTGGTATGGGGTGGGGGAACCCCAGGCATCAGCTTAACCCATTGTGCCACAACACTGGTCTCTTTTAATTTGGTTTTTGAAATCCAATTCATTCACCTTTTGTTTCTATAATTTCGAGCTGACTTTTCAGATTGGCCTGTTCATTTTCATAGTGTGTGATCTTTCCTTATGGTTTTTATTATATTCATTCATTTAAAATAAACTTGTTTGTCATCACTTCCACATAGTTTACTATCCAGATTTTAGGTGTTCTAATTTTCCTGTTTATTACATTTTCTGAATTTCCATTCTAGTACCTTCATTGCTTGTTAGGTTTATCTTATTTTTATTTTTTAGGATTTATTTATTTATGTGAAAGTCAAAGTTACACAGTGAGAGAAGGAGAGGCAGAGAGAGAGAGAGAGAGAGAGAGAGAGGTGACTTCCATCTGCTGGTTCACTCCACAACTGGCTGCAATTGCCGGAGCTGTGCCAATCCGAAGCCAGGAGCCAGGAGCTTCCTCCAGATCTCCCACGTGGGTGCAGGGGCCCAAGGACTTGGGCCATCTTCCACTGCTTTCCCAGGTCATAGCAGAGAGCTGGATTGGAAGTGGGGCAGCCGGGGCTCGAACCGGTGCTGGCACTGCAGGCAAAGGTTTACCTGCTATGCCACAGCGCCGGCCCCTCTTGTTAGGTTTATAAATGATTTCCAGCTATGGTAGATTTCTTTTTCTGTATTGGGAGTTTCCGAAGTTTTCAAAATATCCCCCAGAAGCGATATTTCCCATTTTCTAGGGTGCTCAGAGCGCCTTAAGAGCTATCTTCATGTCACCTGCGTGCCCAGTCCTATGACTGTCACACATTTAACCCTCACACCCCTGTGACTGCTTGATTGGCAGTTTGAACTCCAGGCCCTGGACAGGTGGCAAGCTTTCTCGCTGCTCAAAGGCAGGTGGGGGTGGGTGGGTGACATTTTTGGCTCTCTTTGGAGAAATTAGTTCTTCAAGGCTCCAACATGGAAGTGGGATATCCAATGGCAGCTCTCTCTGCTTTTATTTATTTATTTATTTGAAAGAGTTACACAGAGAGAGGAGAGGCAGAGAGAGAGAGAGAGAGAGAGAGAGAGAAGTCTTCCATCAGCTGGTTCACTCCCCAGATGGCCGCAGTGGCTGGAGCTGTGCCTATCTGAAGCCAGGAGCCAGGAGCTTCCTCTGGGTCTCCCACGTGGGTGCAGGGGCCCAAGGACTTGGACCATCTTCTGCGGCTTTCCCAGGCCACAGCAGAGAGCTGGATGGGAAGTGGAGCAGCCGGGACTCGAACCAGCACGCATATAGGATGCCAGCACTGTAGGCGGCTGCATAACCCGCTATGCCACAGCGCCGGCCCCTCCCCTGCTTTTACAGACGTCCTGTTTCCTGTCCTTACAGCAGCATTAAGGCCAGTCTTGGGCATCTGGAGCCTGTGATGGAATCTGAGGCAGTTGGTAGGCAGGACGGGGTCCATGCGCTTGGGACGTCACCAAATAATCAGCCGCCAGGGGGAGCTGCTCAGAGTTCTGTGGCAAGCAAAGGCGAGTTCCCTAAAGAAGTTGCTTCCCCGAGAAGCAGTCCGCATAGCCATGGGTAGGGGAGCGTCCAGCATGGAGGAGTAGGGCGCAGGGGGCCTCTCCTGCTCCAGCCACATCCATCTTCATGCACTGTGCGCAGGCTGGGTTCTGCTAGTTGTTCCTATTTGCGCTGGTCTGGCTCCTCTGTGTCCAAGGTTGTAGGCTAAGGTTTCCTGGAGCATCCCCTGAAATACTCAGCTTCCCACAGTCTGTGCCCCCGAGCCTGTGCCCTGCTCTTGCCCGAGGCCCACAGTCTGGGTCACAAAGCTGCCGTTGACTTGTCTCTGTCTTGGTCCTGATTTCCCTGTTTATTTGGCACAAAGGGATTTTCTAGGTTTTTTTTTTTTTCCTCCTAGTTTGCGTTTTGATTCTTTTGTTGTTTTTGCTCCATTTGACTCATTACTCTGAAAATTCATAAGAGGGTGGTTCCTTCAAAACAAGGTATGTTTTTGAAAATCCTGTTGGCCTCAGAGATTTTTAAAAATTTATCCTCCAGCTGCAGTGCTGGCATCCCATATGGGCACTGGTTCAAGTCCTGGCTGCTCCACTTCCTATCCAGTTCTCTGCCATCACCTGGGAAAGCAGTAGAAGATGGCCCAAGTGCTTGGGTCCCTGCACCTGCATGGGAGACCCGGAAGAAGTTCCTGGTTCCTGGCTTCAGATCAGTGCAGCTCCAGTCGTTGCGGCCAATTGGGGAGTGACCCAGTGGATGGAAGACCTCTCTCTCTCTCTCTCTGCCTCTCCTTCTCTCTCTGTGTAACTCTGACTTTTAAATAAAATAAATAAATCTTTAAAAAATATGCTGTATTATCTCAGAAAAGTGATTGTAAGGCTAATACATAATGCATATATGACAACTTCTATTTTATCCAGGTGCCTTTTGTCTGGGATTTCCATTAAATGCATATATTCTATTTTTTTAAAAAATGAAATTTTGGCTTCATGTTTAAAAAGTTTATTTATTTATTTTCATTGAATTGAAAGCAGAAAGAAAGATGGAGAGAGATCTTCCATTTGCTGGTTTACTCCCTAAATGCCTGCAATAACCAGGGCTGAGCCAGGCTAAATCCAGGAGCCTGAGCTCCATCTGAGTCTCCCATGTGGGTGGCAGGGACTCAAGGACTTGAACCGTCATTTGCTCCCTCCCAGGATGTATTAGCAGGAAGCTGGATCAGAAGTGGAGCAGCCGGGGCACAAACTGGTACTCTAACATGGAATATGGATGTCCCAAGCAGCCGCTTAACCCACTGTGCCGCAGTACGCACCCCACATTTATTCCAATTAAAATCCAATTTGCTGAAACATTGCCTCCCTCCAACCTCAAAATGACAACTGCTTTCTTCCCTCGTCTTTGTTAATTCAACGTTCTGAAATCAAGGATTTTGGGGATCTCAGTGCCCAACCACTAAAGGAGGATTTCATTAGCAAGACATTCTGGAGGCTGGCGCCTTGGCTCAATAGGCTAATCCTCCGCCTTGCGGCGCCGGCACACCAGGTTCTAGTCCCGATCAGGGCGCCGGATTCTGTCCCGGTTGCCCCTCTTCCAGGCCAGCTCTCTGCTGTGGCCAGGGAGTGCAGTGGAGGATGGCCCAAGTGCTTGGGCCCTGCACCCCATGGGAGACCAGGAGAAGCACCTGGCTCCTGGCTTCAGATCAGCGTGGTGCGCCGGCCGCGGCGGCCATTGGAGGGTGAACCAACAGCAAAGGAAGACGTTTCTCTCTGTCTCTCTCTCTCTCTCACTGTCCACTCTGCCTGTAAAAAAAAAAAAAAAAAAAGACATTCTGGAATGATCAAGTGTATTTTAATGCCTTCCCCCCTCCCCCTATGTTGGGCAATAAAAAACAACCAGACTAACTTTGCAGGATCATTAGGCCTCTAGGACATGTTCTTGGGTAAATACCTTGTATTTATTTATGTAAAGTGTTCAGTGGAGATTGCTAACTTTTCAAACATTTGATAAATTGTGTTCAGTCAATCCTACTTGTGCTTTGGACACTTCACTTACTGAATTATTTGAAGGTTGATAGACACTCAGTTTATTTAGTTATGGAATTTTTCTATTCATTGGAAAAAAACAGTTAACCAGAATAACTTCTACAGGATATCAGAGCTTTTACTTATTACACACACACACACACACACATACACATGCACAAGGACACATACACTCACACACAGGCTGTGCCATCCCATCATATATTTTCACTTACTTTTTTTTTTTTTCTGGCAACAGCTGAACATGCCCTGACAACCCACCTTCCATGATAAATATTTTCAAAACTAGGCAGGCGGAGTCCTCTGTTAACCACCATCTTATAATGTAATGGAGGGTACACACAGCTGCGGCAACACCATGCAATTACTTAATTTGTTTTTGACAGCTCCCATTTGCAGAGGAGAGGAAAGCACGAAGCACACATGGCCAGGGATCTTTGCTACGCCCGAATCCGTTTGTCCACTGTGAATATTCACACGCATGCTTGGAATGACACAAAGTACAAGGCGGGAACCACAGCCAACATCCTCCCTTTCCCAATGCAGCAACAGCTCCAGCTGTTTGCTGTCCATGGAAAGTTGCAGCAAAAGTTCACATCAGCATCTTTTTTTTTCCCATCTAAGGGAAGAAGTTTTGGATCAGCAAGCACTTTCCATGGTAGGTGTAGAGGGAGTTCAGAAGGTAGGCTTGCTCAACAGATGGAAGAATTCATTTTTTTAAAGATTTATTTATTTACTTGAAAGTCAGAGTTACACAGAGAGAGAGGAGAGGCAGAAAGAGCGAGAGAAGTGTTCCACGCGCTAGTCCACTCCCCAGTTGGCCACAACAGTCGGAGCTGTGCTGATCCGAAGCCAGGAGCCAGGAGCTTCTTCCGGGTCTCCCACATGGGTGCAGGGGCCTAAGGACTTGGGCCATCTTCCACTGCGTTTGCAGGCCACAGCAAGAGAGCTGGATTGGAAATGGAGCAGCCGGGACTCGAAGCAGTGACCATATGGGATGCCAGCACTGCAGGTGGCGGCTCTACCCACTATGCCACAGTGCCGGCCCTGGAGGAATTCATTTTAAGGAGCGCATGGAGCCCTATGTAGTCATCACATTTACCCAAGTGGAGTTTCCAAAGGCCCCTTCATCACGGCTGTGTGCTGGGTGGTGTGATAACTTCTCATGGCCTCCACCAGCCAACCGTGTAGGCTCATGGCGCTCCTCATTGGCCACCTCTCTGGTAACTTAAGTGTTGGCCCACGGATGCCAGAGGTTGAGCTGGCTCTGAGATGTCCCTGCATGGCCAAGGCACTCTGAGTCGTCTGAGACTGAGCATTTCATGAGGACTGGGCTTGAGGCGGAGTTGGGGCAAGATGCAGCCTGGGGGGGTGGTGTCAGGATCTCGTGACTGGCACTGGACTCCTTTCAGGCGCAGGAGAAGGGTTCTTCTCCACTGCTGGGAGTTGGGGTGAGGATTCTGAGAACACGTCCAGGGAGTTCTGGGAGGTAGGGGCACGGATTTGCCTAGCAGTTGAGCCCCCTTCATCACGGTTAAGATCCCTGCCAGGGACTGATGCTCACAACGGACTCTTGATTCTAGCGTCTCATTAATGCACACCCTGGGAGGCAGCAGTGATGGGGTGGCTCAAGTAACCAGGTTCCTGTCTCAAGTAGTTGGGTTCCTATCATCCATGTGAGAGACCTGGGTTGAGTCTGGTCCAGCTACTGCCTTTGCAGGCATTTGTGGATGAACCAGCAGATGGGAGCTCACTTTTTCTCTCTCTCTCGCTCTCACTCTCAGCAAAACAAAACAGGGAACACTAAGAAAAATGTGAGAATTCGCCGGTGCCGCAGCTCAACTGGCTAATCCTCTGCCTAGAGGCGCCAGCACACCGGGTTCTAGTCCCGGTCGGGGCGCCAGATTCTGTCCCGGTTGCTCCTCTTCCAGGCCAGCTCTCTGCTGTGGCCCGGGAGTGCAGTGGAGGATGGCCCAAGTCCTTGGGCCCTGCACCCCATGGGAGACCAGGAGAAGCACCTGGCTCCTGGCTTCGGATCAGTGCGGTGCGCCGGCTGCAGCGCGCCGGCCGCGGTGGCCATTGGAGGGTGAACCAACGGCAAAGGAAGACCTTTCTCTCTCTCTCTCTCTCTCTGTCCACTCTGTCTGTCAAAAAAAAAAAAAAAAAGTGAGAATTCAAGTTTTCTCAGAATTACCATTAATAGTCATAGCTATGCTTCTAGACCCAGCTATTGGGTCAGAAGGGATTAGAAAGTCTTTAAAAAGCGGGGGACAGCATTGGAGCACAGCAGATTGGGGCCGTTTATGTCTTATATAAAGTAGGGTGAGGACTGGTAGGTTGCATATCATTAGTCTGTTAGTATGTGTTGTTTAAGAGTGAGAGAATAAAAACAGGCAGAGCTCTCGTTTCTCTGGTGGAAGTCTTGCCAGACAGAGTTAAAGCTTTGCCTGTGCCTTCTCCATCCTTGGTGGCCTTGGGCCCTGCTGGTAATAGGCTCATCATGGGTAAGACCACATGCTATTTCCATAAGGAATCACATGTGGCCTGGTTAGCTCCATCCTGGAGAAAGTGCTGGGGAGAGATTTGGGAGGATTTGGTTTTCAAAGACGGACTTAGGAAACAAGAGGTTGGCTTGAGTCTGGGCTCTTGCTACGGCTGTCTTTGGTCAAGTCTCAGGCAGTTGCGGTGTCTTGGGTGGTCTGATCCTCAGGCAAAATGAGGATTTGGGAAGATGCGGGAGTGTCTCAGGTACCCAGAGTGGCCTACAGCCTGGTCATCTGCGAAGTCGGCTGCTAAGATGAATTTTTCTGCTCTCACCATCAGGCCTACCTGGGCAGGTGGCAGAATGCGAGCTCAGGGTTATGCTTCATCCTGTCTAAGGGCGAGGGAATATGTGTGGAGTGGACGGTGCCGGAGGTTGGAAGGGGAGGTTTCATCTTCACTTAATTGGGTACCTTTTTTAAAAAATAATTTTTAAGGGCCAGCACTGTGGCACAGTGGGTTAAAGCCCCAGCCTGCAGTGCAGGCATCTCATGTGGGCGCCAGTTTGAGTCCCTGCTGTGCCACTTCTGATCCAGCTCTCTGCTGTGGCCTGGGAAAGCAGTGGAAGATGGCCCAAGTCCTTGGGCCCCTGCACCGGCATGGGAGACCAGGAGGAAGCACCTGGCTCCTGGCTTCGGGTTGGTGCAGCGTGCCAGCCGTAGCAACCATTTGGTGGGTGAACCAAAGGAAGGAAGACCTTTCTTTCTGTCTCTCTCTCTCTCTCACTGTCTAACTCTGCTTGTCAAAAAAAAGTCTTTCTTTTTTTAAAGGAGTGTAAGATTTAGGAGCAAGGTTGTGGAACACGTAGGGAGAACCTGGACCATCTCGTAAGCATGACTGCTTTTCAAGCTTGTTTTTTAGAGGTCTTTCCAGGATCTGCCAGCCTCGCCCTCAGAGGGCGCCAGACCACCGCAAACAGGGAGAGCCGCCCGCAGCCAGCCTGACTCAGGAAGGTGGAGGAAGATGCCTGCAGGTGCCCTGCCTGCCCCCTTTCTCCATCCTGCACACTCCCCTAACCCTGCTGTCAAAGCGCCTGCTAACTGCTTCCCAGTGTTAAAATGAAAAAAAAATATATATGTATAACTAGCGGATGCTGAGTATCAATTGCTTTTTCTTCTGTGCTGCGCTGCTTGCTCAGTGACTTGATGCGGGCTGTCCAGCGTAAGAAAAGGTGGGGCGGGGGGGATAATTGTACCTCCATGACAGGCTTCACAAACTCCAGGAAGACGGGGAGGCCCAGTTCTTAGAAAAGGAAACTTGGTAAATACTTCCTGAAATTACTGGTCTCCTACTTCCTTGTGTGACCACTTCCTTCTGAGACGCGTAGTCCCGGACTGCTGGGATGCACCAATAAAGT